CTAACATCTTTAATTGACAACGGATGTAGAGGGTGTTTTTTATGTAATAGTTGAAAGGATGATTAGGATTTTTATTACATTATTATCGAAACATTAGAACTATATTTATATTTTATATTTTATACTTATATATATGAAATAATTTTTTAGTACTTTATTGGATTAATTTTTAGTCTTAATTAATATCATCGTATATCTTATGATTTGATTTGATTATTATACCTTAGGTGTCCCCTATTAGTAGACGGTTTTCCCATAGCTAGTTATTTTCTTGACACGTTAATAAAGTATCTATCTATCTATCTATCTATCTATCGCATTTTTACAGCCAATGACACATGAATGGTTTGAAACGGAAAAACATAATACTATTGAAATATATACAATTAATGTCATTAACGTTGTCCACCGAAAAAAGACATTTACACATTAACACATTTAGACATTAAGACTAAAAGAAATATCACGTGCTTTCTCGAAAGTTCTGGCATAAAACAAACGCTGAAATACCATTCTCCATCTTAAATCCTCACTAAATGGTCGGGGCATTCTGCATTTTCGATTCACGAGTTGAATTCAGTTACTTTAAAGTTCAGGCTGACGCACACGAGGCAAAGAATACATCATGAAACAYGTGRTATTTCTTTTAGTCTAAATATCTAAATGTCTAAATGTCTAAATGTATGATTGTCTAAATGTCTTTTATCGGTAATCGGAATAAGAATATTATTATTCTTAAAATATTTTTTACAATATCTTCGCATGAAAATAAATAAGCGCATTCTAATAATGTGTGTGCTGCTTTAAATACTGCAATACACTGCTTTTTATAGGGGCTTTTCAGACATGGGATAACGGATTTCAACTTGCTATAATACATGCATTTGTTAAGAGATAAAATATTTAGTTTATTTTGCTATGAACGAACTGAAGCAGTTGCTCAGGTTCTTGAAAGGTATGGTTAATATGTTGTAGCTTTTCACTCAACCGCGCAGCTCGACAATGAAGGTTACTGGTCAACCTGTATACTTTTTTCTGTTTTTGAGTTACATACACTGAAGGTGGGGGAAATAAAGGCATGCAATACGAAGTTTACATGATGGCGTCATTTCACTACAACTACCAAAATGCTTTGCGCATTTTCTTTCTGATTCAAATTTGTACTTTCTTATGGAAATGATAAAACAATTTGCTAAATGACTTAAAAAAGAAGGTGTTCAAGGGATACTGATAGTTAGAGCTAATAACGCCATATTGGGGTCCTCTGTTCAATTCCTTCACCATCACCCCATACTATAAGATGATTCTTTCAATGGCATATATAGATGTGGAAAATGTGGAAGAAAAACTCGCGCTGTCCAGGGCCCTGCTTTTCGTGCTGTGAAACAAAAATTACTGGAACTATGTTAAATTGCATATGATATGATTATGTCAGTATATAAGTTGAATATGCTACAAGCCCACTTTCACTCTAATGACTATTGAAACGATAAGACAAAATATCGCAATTCCAAAGATTAAAAATCGTTTTCCGATCAGTTTAAGTGTTATTTTCTCTTCATCATCACCCACGCGTGTGTCATCTTTGTCTTCTGCAAACAAATTTTCTGCATCACTCTTTTCTGTTCCTTCCTCCTGACAAGATTCATCTTCAACAGTTTTTACGGGAGAATATTCGGTTTTTTCCTTTTCTTGATCATCATCCGCTTTTGCTCGTTCTTCCGAAATTCTTTCAAAGTCAACTTGGAAAAAAAACAGTACAGAAAACATGAAGAACTGAACACAGAATCCAACCGCTAGTCCACACCATAACAAAGATAGTTCTTTCTTGTGTAGAGCCAGCGAGATACCCAGTGGTAAACCAATCAAATAACAAGAGATGAAATAGATGACCGTCGAATGAAGCTGTAAGCGTAGGGATAAACAAATGACAAACATTACAGTGGTGATGGATTCCAATAAAAAGGAAAAGGCGGCGAAAGGCGTCACGTGGGAAATCAAGGTTTGAACTGCAACGTCGTTGGTGAACACTCCACCAATTACGTCTTTGAGAGCGAGTAGCCCTCCTGCAAAAACAAGGGAAATCACGAGATTAAAGAGACCACCAACTATCGCTGTTCGCCTTGATTCTTCAGGATTTCGTTCTCCAAAGTTCTTAGCTATGTTGATGTTCATTGGCATGGCTATTGCAAATGGCAACGTTAGCATTGCTTTAGTCGTTGTGAACAGCCCAGTTTGTGCTGCAGTCTCTACCTCYCCTAGCCTGCCGATTGCTATCAACGCAATTTCATGGACTGAAGATTTCAGCAAGAAACTTAAAGCGCCTGGGATTGCTAAGGTCAGGTACTTTTTCCACTGGAGAAAACATCTTGCTGTTAATCCAGGCCATGTTTCTTCGTAAATCCCGGTTATCAGGATGTAGAGAATCATTAGAAGAACCATCAAGAAATAGGAAAAATCACTTGCTATCGCAATTCCAGATACTCCCCAATGGAATAGATACATGCAAGCGTAGTTAAAGGGGACTAAAAAAGCCACTCCAATAAAGGCTACAATAGAAGACGGAATAACGTTTCGCTGGACGATAAGATATGCTCTTAATATTCGAAACAGAAATATCCCTAGCATGGAGGGAATGTACATTAGAAGGTACTCCTCTGATTTCTCCGCTACATCCACAGGGATCCCAATCAATCTAAGAAGAGCACAGACATGGAACCACAGTGACGTCACAAAAATGCACAGGCAGCCCACAAGCAAGAATGCTTTCTGGAGAAGGATTCCAACCATATGGTACTGTCGCGCTCCTAAAGCTTTGGCTGCCATGGTCTCATATGATACTGCTAAGCCACTACCAAGGCCTGTTGCTGTTACAGCCAAAAGACCGTAAGATATACCAACGGCTCCTAATTCTTTCGTTCCAACTCTACCTGCAAAGGCTGCATTGATCGGCCCAACGAACCGACGTATCAACAAAGATAGATACAAAGGCCAAATCAATTGGAACAAGTTTTTGAATGTGGATATTGGTAGAGTCTTGGCCATCGACGAGAGAGCATCTTTGTAACCCATGATCATCACAGTCTCTGAGTTTTAGTAGATAACTGTAAGAAAGAAAAAATAAATTATATGATAAAACTTCAAAGTGGACATACAGTAAATTCAAAAAATGTTGTCGTCGACCAACTTAAGCCTACGCGACTGGACCGAAAGGAACTCTGGGTAGCAATCATTGAAGCAGAGTTGACTCCATAATTTTATCTGACTAGTTATGCCTCATTTACAGCACGAACCTTCGTAGGCCAGCGGGAAGTGTTGAAGGAGACATTTTTTTCAATGCATTCATATTTTCGAAATTGTGAACTGAATCATAACTACTTTGTTTTTCTTTCCCTAAACCCGAAGACAGCATTTGATGGATTGTTTCTCGCCATTATTATCTTATTACTAGCGAGAACAATTAATTCAGAACGAATATTTAACCGCTTCAGTGATTTTTACCCATATTCCTTTCGGTCCAGTCGAGTAGGCTTGAGCCGGTCGACGACAACGTTTTTTGAATTGACTGTATATAGTACTGCTCACTTAATTCTAGAAGTGGGGTGCGGTTATGTGGAAGGGAGTGCGAAAGAACCACGGGTGGCGTTTTTAGCGTCGAGAGCGCTTGCCTCTCCTCAATGCGACCCGGGCTCGAGTCCCGCCGGGCGTGGTGTGTCGCTTGGTGTCTTATGCGAGTAGAGTTTATAGTTGGTTCTCTCCCTAGTTGGTTCTCCTTCCTTTACAAAGATCAACTTCTAAATTCCAATTGGATTATGGAATGAGGGCTACAGGTTTGATAGACACTGGCTGTTAAGTATTAACTGATTTCGCATGAGTGACCAGAAAACAATAGTTCCGAATGGAAGTTGGACTTATATAATATATGTTAATACATCAAGTCCAACATCCAAGCGAATTTGTGACAGATGTGCTGGAATATTTCTTGAAAATATAAAATATTTAAAAATTGGTTATGGCGTGCCCCGGGCMATGAATGCAACCCCATGATCTGGGTGTCAGCTACAAGAATTGTCACGCCTAAGCGTATCAATAAAATTAAGAAAAAATTCCTTTCGTATTCAAGMAGTGGGCGCCAAAACTATTTCTTGAAGAAAGGCTGTTGTACTAGGCTTAAATCTTGTAACTCGTACGAAAGTCTAGTTTTTGGCGCTTTTTGCCATTATTGCTCATTATTGAAAAACATTTCCTATTAATATCAAAAATTTGGTTAGGTCTAGCCTTTTTGCAGTCGACCCTTCGTGTCGTGCAACTTTGGTTTCAGACCAAATTGCACTCCACTCAGTTCCATTACCATTATAAATTATATCTCAAAATCATCAAACATCTACATTTTCAGTGTGCGAAAGTATAAATAAAAGTTTGCAAAAGTAGGCATGCAGTGATTTATTAGAGTGTCCTGACGAAGACGTGCTTTTTTAACTCTAGTTTATTTCCAACTTTATAACAAGATTATTTATTTTACTATATTTTATAATATGTTAGGAGTTGGGCATAGTTAATCAGTATTAACTATGGTTTGGGGACATGCAAAAAAACATAATTAACCAAAAGATGGCAACAAAATTATTTTTACATTGCTTTCTTACTTTATTGTAGCTAACTTACCAATAAAAGTGAATCATAAACTTTGAAGTTATAACTAATATTATTAAGGACTTACCTCCTATGTCTCCCGCCATTTTTCACCTTAAATTATTYCGGCAGTAGAGATCTAATATCTTCCGAATCGTTTAATTTCTAAGCACGAAGAAATTCTTTAAACTTTACAAATCTTAAAAGACAAGGACACTTTTCTTTGGTTATTTCTCTTTTTGTTTTCAGGATTGTTCAGTCGTTTACTCAATACAAGGTTTTTATGATAATTATAAAAGCCGGCGATAGTGTTAACGCATAAACGCGAAACAAACGACTCGTAAACAGAACTGTTCACTGAATCGGAAACACGTGCACAGAAGTATAATGCTGAAAAAGTCGCTCAAGTGAGAAAAAGCACATATTGAGTCGGTAGAATATATTAGGRTGAAATCTAGCCATTATTGGGCAAATATATGTAGCATCTTTATTACTATTTTTTGTAATTCAAAGGACTGATTATCAAGGTTAACTATATCACATTTTCGCGCCACAATTTGCAGAACCATATATTGACTGCTGGGTTTTGTAAGCGATATAAATGTCAAACCTATATAACTTCTCATGAATAATTATAAGAATGCTAGAGTATGCTCTACTGATTTTATTTATTCTTTTT